TTTTTTTTTTTTTTTAATTTTTTATTTTAAACATGAAAAGGGGCTATCAGCAGAAGCACTGACTGTGTAAAATCATTTGTCTTTCGTATAACCTGCATGGAAGAAGCCTTCCTTGAAGGAGAGAGGTATGTTACTTCATGGTACATCTCACCTTAACCGAAAAGGTGACGCGGCAGAGCAGGCCGGCTGCTGTGCATCCACTTAGCTTACGTGCAGTTCACATTCCAGTAAAGGCAGTATCTCTCCACACTTCCTTACCCTGGGAAGTATTTCCATGCAAGCTGCTATGCTGTCCGTGGCGCGTCTTCTCGAGCTCAGGAATCCTGCGAGAAGCTATTCAGTAACTTTATTCAGAGCATACGTCAGAGGGCTCAGATGTTCTCCACCTTGAGTTTGTTTTATTTAACTTCACCTCAGGTGAGCACTGGACCTGAAAGTATCTGGAGTATATACAGTAAGGTACCTTTTAACCTCTTTATGTTGAAGTAATCCTATTCGCTTTAGCTAGAACATACCATTGCCAGAGAAAAAAATGTATCCCTTGGGTAAAGTATTTGAAATCCACCCCCTTTATCATAAGAAGTAGGGAGGGCTTTTTAAAATGCGTTTTGGTATATCAGCAGTTTGGTTTATTTGAAATACTGCAAGAGGTATTTCAAAATGCTTAACACAGATTACCAATCCAGTATTGTCTCATTTTTCTCAGTTGAGCAGCTTAGTCCCTGAACCGTTGAAAACTCCCAGAACATGTGAAGAATGCGGCAGAAAGGGTTAGTTCTAGATTGGCCTTAAACTGTTCATTTGTCCTGTAACTTTGAAGAAAAAAGGGTACATGCATTAATTACAGGGCTGTATAGGTTGTTCTTCACTCTTAAATAAACTGAAACTGGCATGTGAAAGTGGGGTTAGTCTATCCTGTGTGAAATAAAACTAAAGCTAACATAGTGCACTGCTGTGGTGCCATAAGTCAAGCACAGGAGGAGGTTTCTGAGCGGCTTTTGAAAACTAACTCTTTTCTAGAGACCCAACCCTAAGACCCACAGATGCTCCAATTTAACCCGATTTAGGGTTGTATGGAAAACAGACTTAATGAGACAGCATTTGGCTTTCTGATTATTCCAGCAGTTGGAATGCTGTCCACTGCTTGAAAGTTGGTACATTTTCAAGTGGAGCTGGAAAACATGCTGTTTCTTGGAATAATTGTGCCATAGATTTTGGTAATTCATTGGTTTGTCCTTAGACTGAACCGAAGGACTAAAGCTGTGATGGTTCTGCCAAATATATTACATTGAATGTGTTTTTTCTGACATTATTTAGTCTTTTTTTTTTTTTTTCTTTCTTTTGTTTTATTCCTGGAGAATTGACATCTCTCTAGGTAGTACTGGTATCTGGTGTTCAGGAATAAAATCGTGCCAGTAGATACCTATAAACGGTGGTTGGCCAAGTTACACCTAAACTAAGCGTGTTTTGGACTGCTGCCATGTTAATGAAGACCATGTATTACAAGGGAATATGAGAAATTAAGTTTTGAACTGCAGGCCCTGGAATTGGTGACGCAGTGGTGGCTTATTGGGATGTTCCCTGCATACATGTTTTCGTAGCGTCAGTGCTTCCTGCTTGCGGTGTTCACCATCTGCTGCTCCATGAAGTAGTGCCTTGTATAAGAGTATGTGGACCACCAACTTTCAAAACACCTTCTTCCACTTTTTTTCCTAATGAGCTGCAACTGCTCTGTCATCTTCAATTCTCAAGACTCTTTAGGCTTCCCCCCCATTTCGGTGTTTTAAGTGCTTTACTTCACATGTGAGCATCAGAGATGAGATTTCTGGTTTTGGAAAAAAAGTCTCAGTGGCTGAGCTACTCAAGTAAGGACATTATGGAAAAATATGTACAAAATTCCTTTACAAATAACTTCTTTTAACCATCTCTACTAATTAAAACACTGCTTTTTCAGGCAAAGTTGAAGGATTTCTAAATAAGCTTGAGTTTCTGTAAATCTGAAAAAAAATTCAAAAGGAAACTGATACTTGGTGTTGTTCAGCTATCCTATCCTGTCCTATCCTATCCATGGAAACAGGGTGCTCTTGTATTTAAGACCCCAGTCCACAAGTGAATCCCACATGGATCTCTACTGTAGTTGGCAGTCTGTCTACGTACTAATCTAATACAGGGTAGAGAAGTGTGATTGATTTTTTTTTTTTAATAGCTTTTTGTTTTTTTTAGTTCTTGAAGTGTTTTTTCAAATCATCTTCAACATGAGTAGGTGTCTGAATTTGCCACTGGCATTTCCTTAATGCAAAAATTTCTGACAGAATGCCCCACTAACAATGCTGATAAAGGGTGGTCAGTAAAGAAATACATGTGAAAAAATAATTGGAAAAACCTTCACTGCCTCTAGCTTTCTTCTTGACACTGGAAATAACTGTGGACCTCAGTGGGAGTTTTATTGTACCTTTGGGTTGTTCCAAGGGAATTTGGCCATAACAAACTGAAATGGAGGATGAAGAAATTTTAGTTAAAAGTTTTGTGCAAGGGAAGAGAATAAAATCTGTTCTTAATTGTGGTTTTGCTTTGCAGTGGGAGTGTGCGGGGTAATTAGTAAAACTACATAAAGAGAGTGAAAAGTACCAGGAAACACTTGCACTGTACTTGCACCTCCACTGGCTATGAGGCCCTTGTCTTTGCATGTCAAGACAGCAGTTTCAAGATGGCTTAGTTGGCATTGCTGCCAAAAATGTAACTACTTGAGTCTTTTCTCATATATTGTCTTAAAACCTGGTTAATTTACTTGGTTGTGCTTTGTGACCGTGATGGTTTCTCAGCACCTATGTTTTTGTAATATTTTATAAACACACTTCTTTCCCAGGAAAGATGAAGCCTAAACAAATGCTTGCAGAAAACCCCAATGCAGTATCTTTTGTCAAGAGAATGCTTTTGATGTAAAAGTATCTGTATTGCTTTTTGGTATTTATTGGCCTAAACAGAAACACTTTTCCTGGCCAAAAGAGTTGTCTGTGTTAAATACAGAGGAAAAGGAAGTCCCTCTTCAAAGAACCAAAGTATTTATCCTGCCCTGTTAAACTTTTAATAAAAATCTTAATTGTGGTGAAAACTCCCAAATCCTAATTGTCTATATATCTCTGGGCCTAAGTAAAAATTATGTACGTTCGCTGCGTGATATCTGTTGTATGACAGATTAGCTACACCACACGGGGCTTGAACAGAGCTGATTGCTCGCATTTTATCAGAGTCTCCTTTGGCTTCTTCTGGCTGCTCATCAGTGCAAATGTATCTGTTGCGTAGAGGAAGCATTAGCTTGTATATAATTTTTTTTTTAAATTTGAGAGAATGCTTTGCTGTGACATAACAAATGTAAGGAGACTTAGCAAAGTTCAATTAAAAAACTTATCAGTAGCATTAGGGATGATTTTTTTCTTCTGAAGTCCTTGAGCAATTTTTCTTTTGTGTGTGTGTGATTAGTTACGTGGGATTAACCTGGTGAGAATAAGTGTAGCAGCCTCTTCAGCCTTCGTTATTTTAGTTTCACATGCTCAGAAGCCAGTTCTATTCCTTCTCCCCTTCCCAATGA